ATTAGAAGTACTGACCTTAACACCTAAAAATCGTTTACATGCATAAAGATAAACCCTTTCTAAAACATTAAAATGTGTAAAACCCCAAACCTCTGAGCCATATAACAGAATAGGTTTAATTTTTTGGAGTCAAATATTATTTTGAATTTATTATAATTTACTTCACCAGCCTTCTTCAAATTATGAAAAATTCCCATAAGTATTTTCTTACCCTGTAGGGACGCATTATTTACATGTATGTTACGTGTATTACAGATCACAGTTTGAAGAAAATGTGAATGGTGTGAGATTCCGAATGCACAATGGAATGTATGCAGCAATAAACCAGGCTCTGCATGACTGCAGCTGGTTTATACGTGCACGGACAAAAAACATATATACCACTGTCGGGGCCAAGTTTGAAAAGAAGGCACTTCAGTTTTCAGCGGAACCAGGGAGACTATAAGACGTTGTAGATTATCCCTGGCGGAACTTAAGATGGAAGTCAGCCACAGTCTTTGATGACTTATTTCTTCACAAACTAAAGCTTTTATATGCATGTATGTAATAAACAAATGTACATGTACTTTGTCAGTGAGTGTTTCGTCTTCATACGCATTCATGTAATATGTGTTTCATGCACAATCGTATGCCCGTCAAAGGGAGATAACTCCATTAAAATCTGTGTACCTCGGACTGCTGTCTTATTCGGACTTTTTAGTCGGTTCCAAGTCGGGCCGAATTAGACAGAGTGCAATACGATATATTGCGGTACACTTTTCGCGAACCGGTTCACCCGATACGAGCGGCAATTACCGTGACCATGATCGGTAATTTTCGTGATGATGTATTTCTTTTATATTATTATACATGAACAGTTTTGAGAATGTTTATTGGTCATATGATTGCATTTGCGTGAATTTTAAACCATATAGATTGGTACCGGCACTCGTTGATAAACAAACCAAAATGGGGGACGCCGCTGCAGACGATTTTTCTCGACTTCCAAACTTTAGAGTGAAGTCTTCAATATGGAAACATTTCCAACTGATCTCTTGTACAATCACATCCGCGTCATGACAGTGACCATTGCCATTGTTTCAAAAGAAAGGAAACAGTAATTTCATTGCCTTAACCCATGTGTTGTACTTTCACAATATATTGCAATACATATTGCAATACGCCAACACATATCACAATATATCGCAATTCCAAAATTTTGGCAATACCTATCCCTACTATATATATAATATAGCATACGAACGCAACATTAATAACATTCTCTGCTCCCCTATTTAATGAAGTTGACTCGTCCTGACGTTTGTGCCATTTGACCTCCCGGGTCATACATATGTAGAGTAGCTCAGGTCAAGCTGAACAAGCTTTACATATGGAAATATACTTTATCAGTAAAGAACTCAACTACTATTATCAGGTTGAACGAATGTACTCAACCTAACAAAAGTACTTGACTACTTGTATCTTTACTTAACTGAGTTAGTGTGTGAGTGAGCTTTAGTTTTACGCCGCAATTGGGAACCGAACACATGTGTCAACAAAGTCAGCGAGCCTCACCACCGGACCCCGTTAGTCGCCTCTTACGACAAGCATGGGTTACTGAAGGTTAATTCTAATCCGGACCTTCACGGGTCTACTTAACTGAGAAAATGTGATCCAAAATATAACATATGTTACAACTTCAAAGTCATTATTCCTTTTAAGGGTTCATAACATTCAGTGTCGATATAAAAGTCGATATTTATTTTAATAGAATAGCTTTTAGGAGGACATAATCGGGCCCAATAATCGTGAAGGTCTTGTCTCTGATGACAGATCACACTAGATTCAGCTGTCAAGTATACATACTATGTCACCATGGTTGTAATCGCTGCTGAATTGGAACAAACGCTGCAAACTCAGTGAAATGCATCTTGATATTCATGTCAGTTTTAAAACAATGCTATTATAACAGTTATTATGGGACCAGCTTGTTTTTTGTCGTGATAAATGAGCATCAGCCGAGACGGCGACACAGCCTGGGGTTACACGCCGATACGACAAAACCGGCGCATCTCTGTATCTGGGCACTAATTTATATATAAATTTGCATAGAAAAATAATTATAAATTCTTAGTCATATCATGCTTATCATTAACACGAAATGACTTTGAAACGAGTCATAGCTTAATCTATGATTGTGAATATGGTCATTTTGTGAAATCCTTAATCAGTAATTTCCTGAAAACCCCATTTTGATAAGGGATTCATAAAATATATAATTTCATAAATTTACTTAGTATAATAATGACCAGTGGTTCAGAAAATCCCTGAATTAATTTTGACAACGCGTTCAAACACATTTTGTGAACTTCGTCCCTCACGTTAACATGATTAAACAAATAATCGATTAAAAAATAAAAAATATTATTATTGTACCTGTCTGAATACTTGTCATACCCAGAATACGAAGTTTAGTTTTATTATTTCAACGATTGAAGCACTTACACTTCAAATATTTCTTGAGAACATTCCCATGCACTGGTAAAGAGACAGAATACATTATGTAACAATTGTTATATTTGGGCTCACACTTTTTTGTAAAGCACAGATTCTAGTACTTTTGTTGGATTGAGTCCCATCCGGGATTCGAACCCACACCCTCAGAGTCAGGCACCTAATCGCCAGCACACAAAATCAGCCGCTTAGACCGCTTCAGCCATGTGGAAGCCGCGGTGGCTGAGCGGTCTAGGCGTCTGACTTTGCGGTGGCTGAGCGGTCTAGGCGTCTGACTTTGCGGTGGCTGAGCGGTCTAGGCGTCTGACTTTGCGGTGGCTGAGCGGTCTAGGCGTCTGACTTTGCGGTGGCTGAGCGGTCTAGGCGTCTGACTTTGCGGTGGCTGAGCGGTCTAGGCGTCTGACTTTGCGGTGGCTGAGCGGTCTAGGCGTCTGACTTTGCGGTGGCTGAGCGGTCTAGGCGTCTGACTTTGTGTGCTGGCGATTAGGTGCCTGACTCTGAGGGTTTGGGTATAACATATGTTACATTTGATCACTTTTTAAATGGCATTGTGTATTTCACAGAATGCATTATGTTTGTCGCGAAATGAGAACGATTAATTACAAAATAACTCAAAACCCCGGGCGAGTCTATAACACGTCAACACGATACATGGTGATGAATACTTGGTACCCGACATTATCTGATGTTTAGTTAGCTTCATACCCATTACAGGGTTGATTAAAGAATCTGTGATGTCGACATCATAGACGGATGTGCTCCCCAGTTGATGAGAAACAACTGACTTTTATGGGTTGTGTTTTCTTTCAGTATGAAGCAGAAAGAGGAATAGTAAAAAATTAATAAATACTTGAAACGAGCTTCTAAACCTCTTGCTATGTCCCCTAACAGGATGTAAAATGTCCATCAATGGGAATCAGGCCAACACAGCAAAACCACGTACGGTGGGTGGATAAATTAAACAATTTTCAGCAAAATCACAGACGTGCAATTATTAACCTGCTTTCAGAAAACAAGTAAACGGTACCAAGACTAAGGCGAAGACATACCTTGAAAGTGAACATGATTTAGTTGTTACCAAATACAAGGTATGGCAAATCTGCTTTCAGTTGGATACAGATACGTGGGATACGTTTTGAAAATAGGGCTGTGTTATGTGAACGATCTGACATCGTTGGTCTCCGAAATCATCACCTTCGAACCATCAAGTGGACGCGTAAAGAAGGATATGAACCTGTTTTCCTGGATGACACGTGGAGAATGCCTCTCACACAGACAGTCTAGACCGTTTGATGAAAAAATCGTACCCATAAAATGGCAAATAAATATACATTGGAAAGCAACAAATCGTCTTAAACGGGATGAAAGTTAATCATTTATCCATACCAAATTGTCACTATGATTTCAGACATTAGCATGAAGAAGGGGAAAGGTTGTTCACGTAAATGTAGGTGTTTAAATGACTTTTGTAACAAGGGGGCATGCAGTGTGTATAGAGCAGCTCATCAATCGCACGTGACAATTGCACGTATTTTGTCAACCCACTACTGTCTTTTCTGCAATAAAAAGGTGTCAATTTAAATGTCCACCTCAGGAGCGTGTTTTTCTATAGTTATTTAGCGGAATACATAAAGGGAGTCTCAAAGCAATGTTGCAATGTTCTTGGTGTTGCTATTCATGTAATTATAAACGTAGATAATATGATAATTATAAATACAGAATGAGCTCAATCCATCATTACAGTGCGGTACATGATGGAATTCACAGATTATTTGAAAACCCTTACATGGCTAGCTTCGTAATCCATTATATCACAATATCGTATTCAATCGAGATTTAAGCCAAATGTGCTCAAGTAACCTAAAAGTTACATATTTATATTCTACTCATGTTTACACACCTTTCGAATCTAGAATTTCAGCATGTAAAACATTTGGGAGATATTTTGTCTAGGCTGTGGGACGATAGCTCATTTCACATATTTAGACCCTAAACGTTTTCTCACGAACATGGACCGCCTACGTGGTGTAGTGGTTAGAGCGTCCGCCCGGAGAGCGGAAGGTCGCGGGTTCGATCCCCGACCGCGTCATAACAAAAGACGTTAAAATATGGTACTTGTTGGTCCCTGCCTGGCGCTCGGCATTAATGGGTACAACAAGGACTGGTCGGCTCGGAGTCAGTATAATGTGTCTGAGTGGGGTATTCATGCTTCACTGCGGCATGGTATCTCAGTGGGCTAGCACTATAAAACCAGCTTAAGTCTGGGCTAGTACAAGCAGCCGCACATACACATATACACGCATGCACGTCGTCATATGAGCGAAATATCCTCAAGCACGACGTTAAACCCAATTTCACCTCACCTCACCTCTCACGAACATGAAACCTAGCTTTTCTTTCCAAGTATGTTTAGATCTAAACCTGTCTTGTACGTGTTTACCCTTATATATACACATTTACAGTGAAGTATTTTCACTGGACACAATCTTTTCAGGCACTGGACCAATATGTGGTCTGACATGGTTCCTCGACAATGGCTTCTGAAAGCCTATTTTCTGACTGGCTCGCTTGGTTTTGTGACGTCAGCTGTCGGAGTAGAGTCGGCAAAAAATGACTTCGCGTTCCAGCGTGAAATCGACCGCCTATTTGCGATAACAGGTGTGTTTTATTGCTCATTTGAATCTAAATATTACCGTAATTGGAATAGGTTTGAAAATATGACATTTAAAAACAGTGAGCCAGTGAGTATGAGCAGGTCTTTGATCCCAGTTTATATACATGTGGAAAACAGGCAAAGTTGGTACAGGTTTGAACAACGGATTTGCTCGTAGTGTTCGTAGACATACAGCCATTTCCACTACTTCAAATAACAATAAACCCGTGAAGATCCCGGTTAGAATTGATCTTCAGTAGCCCAAGCTTGTCGTAAGAGGCGACTAACGGGATGGGGTGGTCAGGCAGACACATGTCATCGTATCACAATTGCTTAAATCGATGTTTAAGATGTTGATCACTGGATTGTCTGGTCCAGACTCGATTATTTACAGGTCGCCGACATATAGCTGGATATTGCTGAATGCGGCGTAAACCTAAACTCACTCACTCACTCAAATAACAATAACTCTGAGGGTGAACTCATGCACATACTCACAGATCTTGATGGTCAAGAACCCGATAGACTCAACTCTTGTATTTAGATTGGTAATTCAACAAAGACTTGTCTCTGAACCTTTGATTCAATGTACAATGTACTGTCCGTTTAAGAATGTCGAAATATAGCCGGAATATTGCTGAGTACGGCGTTACTACACACACAAATCGTTACTTCTTTACATTGGAAGTCAAAACAAATCTTGATTGATTCTTTACCTTTGATTGGTAGTCAAGAACACATTACAATGTCCCGTTGTTTTAAGATTAGACGTTATGCAAGGACTCTTCTTTACCTTTGATTGGTAGTCAAGAACACATTACAATGTCCCGTTGTTTTAAGATTGGACGTTATGCAAGGAGTCTTCCTTACCTTTGATTGGTAGTCAAGAACACATTACAATGTCCCGTTGTTTTAAGATTGGACGTTCTGCAAGGATTCTTCTTTACCTTTGATTGGTAGTCAAGAACACACTACAATGTCCCGTTGTTTTAAGATTAGGTTCTGTTCTTTACCTTTGATTGACGGTCACTCATCTTAGACGCACCTTTACCTTTGATTGACGGCGTCCCGTTGTTTTAAGAACACAACTCTCTGCACCTTTGATTGACGGCGAAGAACACGATGCAATGTCCTGTTCTTTCAAGATTTGTCCTTCTGTGTAGATTCTTCTTTACCTTTGATTGGTGGTCAAGAAGAAAACACAATGCGCTGTTGTATTGAATTAAGTCCTTTCTGTTGTAGAGGTAGATTCTTTCGGGCCGTCGACTCGAGCTCAACATACCACCTTATTTAAGAGTAATGCCAGAGCTCGAGCTCTTGGCGAGCAGTATCTGAGTCGCATATCTGCTGCCATTAATACAGCACGAAGGTGAGTCTACTATACTTGGTCTCTTTCAATGAATGGCAATTCCTTACTTGTTGATGGGCAACGCTGAGTTTAACGCCGCACTCAGTAATAATCCAGCTATATGGCGGTGGTCTGTAAGTAATCGAGTCTTAATCTAGTAATGAGCATGGATCTTCGCAACTGGAATACGATGTCATGCGTCAACCAATCAGCGAGTCTGACCACCCGATCCGGTTAGTCGCCTCTTCCGACAAGCATGGGTTGCTGAAGACCAATTCTAACACGGATCCTCACGTGTTCTCTCCCAATGGTAACGACTCTCCTCCCCCTTTGGGGTTAAAAATATCACACATTCATTCATTGGCACAGTATTGCCACAGAAGCCTCTCGGGTGGAACCTACTGGTTGCATAACTTGTGTTGTGCTGGGTAATGGAAAGAAAATACTAGAATTACTAGAAGTGAATGAGTGAGTATGGTTTTACGCCGCTTTTAGCACTATTCCAGCAATATCACGGCGGGTACACCCGAAATGAGCTTCACACATTGTACCCATGCGGGGAATCGAACCCGGGTCTTCGGTGTGACGAGCCAACGCTTTATCCATTAGGCTACCCACCGTCCCAGAATTACTAGAAATACGATTTTAGAGACCATAAGACATTTCAGAGACCATAAGATATAACAGTTACGTTTACTGGTTTCTTAAAGTCTAAATAGAAGAAAACGCTGCGAAATCTGAAAATTGAATCCCCTGTACCTGTCAGCCTTATATGCTCATGTGCACAGTTTCTTTTAATACCTGTGATAGTTTCGATTGATATAGAAGAACAGTTTGATTTTTTTTATAGAAAGCTAAATTCTCATGAAATAATCATAATGGGTCTAACTATTCAAGATGACGGAGTATATTATGTCTTCATGTTAAATCCTTTTAATTCCAACGTAAATACTGTCCATATATTTTACCGTTTCCTCCAAGACCACGACTAGGTTTGAAACATCGACCGTTCCCTGAGGCAGTGAGACAGGTGTTGATGACAATACCAGAGAGTGGATGTGCAACCTTCGTGGGCGTCTGTAACATCACGAACATCTACCGCTCATCCGACGGCAGCTGCAACAACCTCGCCAATCCAACATGGGGGATGTCTGACACACCACGGAGACGCTACCTGACTCCTCAATATAATGACGGTTAGTCTTGCTTTTTGAGGTCGGTGACTGAATTGCCGATGTGACTCTTGTCAGCACTGATTTTTCCGGGTTAAAACTGGTCTTCAGTAACCCATGCTTATAACCCTCGTAAGGGGCGACTAACGGGATCGGGTGGTCAGGCTCGCTGACTTGGTTGACACATGTCATCGTATCCCAATTGCGTAGATCGATGCTCATGCTGTTGATCACTGGATTGTCTGGTCCAGACTTGATTATTTACAGTCCGCTGCCAAATAGCTGCAATATTGCTGAGTGCGGCGCAAAACATAACTCACTCACTCATCACTGATTTTCAGTTACCCACTCTGGCGATGTTACCTCTGTTTTGAATATTACCAAAATTAGGAATTGGTTTCTCTGAATAATTGTCACCGATTATGCTCTGACGTAATTCTCTGCAAATGTACATACACCAGACAAAACTCAGTAGCATGACCGTGTGATATGTGTTTGTGAGAAAGGAAGCACAATACGTCGCTTTATTACTGCTGTTTGTTAATATTCCATTATGGGCCATGTATGGTTCATTGCACAAGACGATCTTAAGATAGGACACACGAAACAAAGGTAACAAATTCAAAGCAGCCTGTCTTCCTAGAAACAGCTGGGAGCGAATAGCTGTAATACTGTTGATGCGGCTTCAAGAATATTTACTCACGTAAGCACGCACGCTTGCACGTACTCACTCACTCACACACTTGTCTGAGGCGGCGCGGATTTGCGTCCCTTGAGTGCACTAGGAGCTCATGACCATGGGTTCGAATCAGGAAATCACTCTGATATATGGGTTTCGCGAAAGTGGTGAAGGTCAAAGATCAGCTTCACTTCGGGTTTACTTGCATGTGAAGCTAGAGAATCATCATCATCATCGTTGTTTTCATCATCTTCACCACGCTGTGATATAACTAAAATAATGTCAAAAGAATAGTTTGACTCACCTCAAACTCTACATTTAATGACCAGTGAAGATCCGGGTTAGGATCGAGTGATCAGGCTCGCTGACTTGGTTGACACATGTCGTATCCAAATTGCGTAGATCGATGCTCCTACTGTTGATCACTGGATTCTCTGGTCCAGACTCGATTATATACAGACCGCCGCCATAGAGCTGGAATATTGCTGAGTGCGGCGTAACTAAACTCACTCACTCACTCTTTATTTAATGTCCAGGAATACGCAGTCCACGCACCCGAGGTTTCCTTGGCGATCCCCTACCCAGTGCCCGACTGGTCAGCACCATTGTCCACACCCCTGACGACAAGATCCCGAAGCTGAAGTTCATCTCCCACATGCTGATGCAGTGGGGGGCCTTCCTGGTGTTCGACACAACAAGCACGCCACTCAGATCAGGTGCGACTTACAGGATCGTTCTGTGTGATTCTGGGACTATCTCTGTATATCTGTGTCTACTAATTATAAGCGAAGATCCGGGTTAGAATTGATCTTCAGTAACCCATGCTTGTCGTAAGGGGCAACTAACTGCATCGGGTGGTCAGGCTCGATGACATTCGGGACCAACTCGTGTTATTCCGGGACAAGCCGAATAGCGGTTACAGAAAGAGGCGAGTGGTGACGAATGGCTCGCTGACTTGGTTGACACATGTCATCGTATCTCAATTTCGTAGATCAATGCTCAGGTCCAGCTCGATTATGTAGAGACTGTATTTTGTCAGAGTGCAGGTTTAAACGACAGAAGAACATGCGTGTGTCTACGTTGGTGTCAGTAAGATGGAGTATGTGCGTGTGTGTGCGTGCGTGCGTGCGTGCGTGTGTGTGTGTGTGTGTGTGAGTGTGTGTGTGTGTGTGTTTTGGGAGGTGGGATTATTTATGTGTGTGTGGCTGTGATGGTGTGATTGCGTATGTTTGTGCTTGTGTGTGTGTGTGTGTGTGTGTGTGTGTGTGTGTGTGTGTGTGTGTGTGTGTGTGTGTGTTGGGGCTTTTTGTTTGTGTGTGTTTGGGATTTTATTTTATGTGTGCGCGATTGTGTGTGTATATGATTTTATGTGTGAGCGATTGTGGGTGTATATGATTTTATGTGTGTGCGATTGTGTGTGTGTTTGTGATGTTATGTGAATTTTGTTGTCTGATTCTGTGTGAATGATTGTGTGTCCGTGTGTTTCTGTGTGTGTTGTGTGAGGGGGAGGAGTATTTGTTGTGTGTCCACACTTGTGTGTTAGTACGTCTGGTCACAATGCTTGTTTCCCACAATCCTGTACTGTGTTTAACCAAGTGCAATTTCTTTATTATTTTGTTTTCTGTTACTGTTTTTATTCCTTCTGTTCAAAGCTCACCCGTTTTGTTTAATTTTGTTTTATCACGCACGCTGGCACCTATAACAGCCCGTGTTTTCTGTACAGGCGCTGAAGACCGTCCCCTGACATGCTGTTCAGAAGATGTCCCAGTTCTCCTGAAAGGAATCCTTGACCCTTCTCTCAGGTACAAGACCCGTGAAGATCCTGTTTACAATTGGTCCAGGGGCACTGACTTGGTTGACACATGTCATCGGTTCCCAATTGTGTAAATCGATGCTTATGCTGTTGATCACTGGATTGTCTGGTCCAGGTTCGCTCATTTACAGACAGCCGCCATATAGCTGGAATATTGCTGAGTGCGGCGTAAAACTAAACTAACTCACTCACTATTCTACTGACATCAGCAGAATACAGTCCGAAACATTGTGTCCCTCGTATCACAGTAGTTGCCATGCCATTTTTATCATTTATCATACTTTCACAGTTCCTTAATACAACTTTAGAAAACTAGTAGAACATGTAGTTGTGTGTATCGAATCTAGTTAAAGTCCTTATTTCCTTAAGGAACCAGTGTAGCTACAGCGATATTGTCGTGTGTCATTGCATCACATCTTTGAACGTTATTATTATATATACAGTTATTCATGTCGTGTATTTACATTATGTCTATAAGGGCATAAAAATACGATAAGCTAAAAGATAATTAAAAACTTCCTTAGCTAAAACTGTGCGGTTAATAAGTTGGTTTTGATAGGATTCTAGCTCCGAAGTGAATAATACCACAAAACTAAAATGAAAATGTGACAGATTTCCTCGATTTGCATGAACGATCCACACTCACTGTAAGTACTGTGTTGGGACACACATAGAGAACTTATGAAACAACGCCCGTTCGAAACTCATAATTTTAATTTCTTCAGACGTCTTCAGAAAGCGCCCAAGGCTTAAAACGCTGACATCTTAGGTATTATGTTCACATCACTGACCGTACGGTCACCTTCAAAAGCAACAATACAGACGTTCATATTTTAACAAATGTACACACCTTGTCATCATGAAAGATTCTATTTCGAAAAGTCCTCGTGTCAGTTAAAACTATTACTGTATCTATAAACGTTCAAGAGTGAGTGAGTTAAGTTTTACGCAGCAATATTCCAGCTATTTGGCGGCGGTCTGTAAATAATCGGGTCTGGACCAGGCAACCCAGTGATCAACAGCATGAGCATCGATCTACGAAATTGGGAACAGATGACGTGTGTCAACAGTCAGCGAGCCTCACCACCCGATCCCGTTAGTCGCCTCTTACGACAAGCATGGGTTACTGAAGATCAATTCTAACCCGGATCTTCACGGGTTAAACGTTTAAGAAGTAATACGCACAAACATGACTGTGAGACGCGTTGGTATTGGTTTCAAACAATTATTTCTCCTGCAAACTATCAGATTTCTTTGGTGTCACATAGCATTAATGTACTTCAAGTGGTCGCACTGATAGCTGGACTATTGCTGAGTGTGGCGTCAAAAGCAACAAATGAGTATGAGTAAAATTGTCATGAACTTAAAGATTTTCTTTCTGCCAAATCTAGTTACCAATGACGATATATACTCATGCCAATAATGGTTGTCACCCCCCTTCAATTTTTTTAATTGGAGAGGGGGTGTAGGGTTGGGGTGGGGAGGGGGGTGACAACCATTATTGGCATGAGTATATTTATGTGTAACTATGTTTTGTCCTGTATTTTCGGGATTATTTCAAATAACCCCACCCACGAAAGGTCAAGTGGGAGTCAGATGTCTTACAACTTGCTGGCGTCTTGTGTCCCGTGGACTGTGTACATGGTCGGGGTGCCACGTGTCTAGTGTCTGGTGAAGGGATGTTGTTTTTGTCTAGTGTCCACTGTCTTGTTTCTTCTATCTAGTAGTCTAGTGGTTAAAACGTTCGCTCGTCACACTGAAGACCATTGTTCGATTCCCCACATGGGTACAATTTATTAAGCCCATTTCTGGTACCCCCCGCCGTGATATTGCTGCAATATTGCTAAAAGCGGCGTACAACTAAACCCACTCACACAACTGTATCTAGTAGGTAGTGTCACGTGAGTACTGTCAGATGCATGGGCGTCGTTGTAAGCGACTTTATTCTAGCGTCTACCAGCTGGTGACTTTTGTATAGTGTCTAGTAGGTGTCTCCAGTTCAGTGTGTAGTGGATGATCTCTCTAATCTAGTTGGTGGTATCACATGGCTAGCAGTGGTAGTGGTATCACGTGGTAGTGGTATTACATGGTAGTGCCTCTAGTCGTGTATTATGTGTCTCTTGTCTAGTGCAACCAGGGTGGTGTTCCTTGTCTAGTGTCTAGCAGGTCTGAGGTTTGGGTTTGTATGTTTTACATGGTATTGTAACGGGTGCCAATGAAGGGCAGAATATGCCTGCCTTTTCTCGGACACCTGGTGTCATCACAATTTGATGGTGACTCTAACCTAGACATGACACGTATGAATATCCTAGGGAGTGGTCTGTGTGAAGTTAGGTAATAAAGTATGGTCGGTGTTTTCGTGTGAACAAAAGCTGTATTTCAAACATACAGAAAACATTTTAACCAGAGCAACGACATCAAGTCAACTACGTACAGTGCCGGAAAGGTTTAATGTACCAATTAAAACAATAATTATTTTCTGATTACATTGCGACCATGTTTATTACCACAGAGACGGTTGTTTCCCGATCAGCATCCCCCGTGGGGACAGGTTCTTCAGTAGGAGATGCATGAACTTCCCCCGATCGATCCAGATAGACAATACGAAGTGCACAGGAGGTATGTCCCAAACACATTTAGTGAATCAGTGAGGTCATTGTAACGTCGCTTTGAAGTGTAATGAGATTGGTCCATATAGGAGGTCTTAGAGTGAATGAGTGAGTTTGGTTTTACGTCGATTTTAGCAATATTCAAGCAATATCCCGGCGGGGGACACCAGCAATCCGTGGACTCAACTTGCATCGTACTTGTCAAGGACAAAGCAATGGCGTAAGTAGGCATCAGGGCCACGCAATAAAACGTGGACACGGTGACCTGTTGTCGAAGGCACCCCAGTTCGCAGGGGCGAATCGTGGGTTCGAATCCCGTATCGCACCGATTATTGGCTCGTGAGGTCCACGCTCGTGGGTATGACTACTGTGGTCAACATATAAGATCTGCAGCATTCCGGACCTCCTTACAGTTTATGAGGAGTGGTAGAGGATAGCCTAATGACCATTCGTCACGCTGAAGATCCGGGTTCGATTCTCCACATTGGTATACTTCGTGAAGTCGATTTCTGGTGTTCCCCACCGTGATGTTGCTGGAATATTGCTAAAAGCGAGGAAAAAAACATACTCACTCACTCACTCACTCATTCGCTGACTAGAGTCGGGTGGTGGGGTAGCCTTATGGTTAAAGCGTTCGCCCGTCACGCCGAAGACCCGGGTTCGATTTCAGACATGGGTACAACGTGTGAAGCCCATTTCTGGTGACCCCCACCGTGATATTGCTGGAATATTGCTAAAACTTCACTCACTAACTCTCTCGCTCACTCACAAAACAGTACGCTTAACGCGCCTTCAATACTGTTTCAAAGCGGAGTTGACCTACAGTCACTCACTCACAAAGAAAGCAACAAATGACACCCGCTCGGGCCATGTCACTACGTCTGATTGGGAATTAGGAATAACACTTTACAGCAAACGTTTTGTTGAAGAAAATCACCATCTGAGTTGTTATTACGTACGTTTGTTAATATTAGGGACATATTTGAAATATCGTGAAAAACATTTGATAAGCATGTTAATGTTTAAAGTTTACAAGGAATCACTAAACTAGTACCGGGTGTTTGCATCGATCTTTCTTTAACGTCTTTAATGCTCTCCAGACTTTCTTAGTTTCTTTTTTTCTAAAAAAAACAACAAGTTTTAATTACCCTTTAATTACCCTGCTTTGTGTTTTGCAGTGCCAGCCGAGCAGGTTAACCAACAAACCGCGTATATCGACGCCTCACAGGTGTATGGGCCTACCGCTGAAGAGACTGCGCAGCTCCGGACCATGGTTAATGGTGATTATGTATTTATTTGCCACGGAGCAGGATACGCACAACTTTTCTCAAACATCTGGTATTATCACTGTTTTACTGTGATAGATAAACCCGTGCTTGTTATACAGTTATTATCTTACAATGGATTCAATTACCCCATCGATGGCTCTGATATATTTCATACAAAAGCAGACCATTTTGGTCGGATATGGAGATGGTTTAGCATCTATTTCATATAAAAGGTCAAGAATAAATATTATCACCTTACACAGTTACCATGAAGATCCGGGTTAGAATTGATCTTCAGTAACCCATGCTTGTCGTAATAGGCGACTAACGGGATCGGGTGGACAGGCTCGCTGACTTGGTTGACACATGACATCGTATCCCAATTGTGCAGATTGATGCTTATGCTGTTGATCACTGATTGTCTGGTCCAGACACTAGTTAGAATGAGCGATAAGTAAATTTTTAACAAGCAATTCATTCACTATTGTATGTTTTTGACAGGTTTGGTGCAAGCGGCTACAACGGACAACCAAGCAGGTACTACTCGCACTCTATAAAGTACTGTTCGGCTAAACTTCAGCCTCAGTGGTGGGGAGATAGGAAACGTAAACAACGACTTTACTGGAGAGAGATTAGTGCAGAAATGAGCAAAGCGACTTGTTTGGAACAGACCATGGCCTTATGCAAATTAGTGTGCGATGATATTGCATGACAAAGGACACTTTTTAATGCCCATTTTGAAATTAGACTTAGCTTCATTATAAACGATACCTGACGTAAAAGTAATAACTTTAATACTGAAACTATTAAGTATGTAGCTGCCATGGAGTCTCACTGTCACTATCTTTATACAGTGAAACCCCGTTAATCCGAACGGTTGCACTCGAAAGGAAATCACGAGGGTCAAAATTCCTCATGAATGAATGTTTGAGTGGTGTAATGTCGATATACATGCAGTGGAATCGGTCAAAATCGGACACATGTCACATGATAGTGTTTTAACGATAATTTGACGCGTTAATTGCCAATTGTGCATTCAACTGACTGGCTGACTGAATATGGCACCGGTAACCAATTTAATATAGAGACAGTAACACAGTTTATATACTCTAACGGAATGCATACTATTAGCAAATGTTTACAGTTCAGGAACCAGCCTAACGGAATGCATAGTAAAGTAAATAAGTCTCAACTAATGTTTACAGGTCAGGAACCAGTTAACGGTCTGACCAGCCTGATCAGCTTACGAATCGTCTTCAGGAGAGAGCACAACAGAATTGCCCGCTCTCTCAAGAAGATCAACCCACACTGGACTGACGAAACGCTGTTTCAAGAGACAAGGAAAATCATTATAGCCATCTCCCAGAAGATCACTTATAACAATTACCTTCCTATAGTTCTGAACAAGTACGCCCTCGACAAGTATAGGCTGACGTCACCCAAATCTGGATACTATGACGTTTATAACAGTTCCACTGACGCCGGCATCGTCAACGCATTTTCAACGGCAGCGTTTCGATTTGGGCACTCTATGGTGAGGTCCCTGTTCAGCAGACTGAGGCCTGACTTCTCCTTGAAGGCGCAGGATCGTTTGTTCCAGATGTTAACAAGCACAGCGCCAGTATCGTCCAGGACCGGGGTAGCAGTAAATGAATATTTGAGGGGTAAGTTGGTGGACGGAAGTAGCCAGGTTGACCGCTTCATGCCCAGGGATCTGACAGACAAGCTGTTTATATTGAACGGTAGCAGTCTAGATCTGGCTGCTGTGAACATCCAACGGGGCCGGGACCATGGCTTGCCGGGATACACGGCCTACAGAGAACTGTGTGGGCTACCAGGGGTCTTCAGCTTCCGACCTGCTGTGGGCGGACTCATCGACCATGATCCTCACACTGCAGGACTCCTCCAATCTGTCTACAAGTTAGTTTGTTTTGTTTTGTTTTGTGTTTTGTTTTGTTTAACGCCGAACTCGCAATATTCCGGCTATATGGCGATGGTCTGTAAGTATTCGAGTCTGGATCAGACAATCCAGTGATCAACGGCATGAGTAACGATATGCAAATTAACATCTGTGGTACGTTTCTGATAACAGTCAAACACAGTTGTGTCGAAGTTGAAGTGATCTACGTAAATACTTCAATTTATCGGTGTTCGACAAACAAATGTGAATAAAGAAAGCGTTCGAAGGGACCAAACTTTTACTCTGAGACAAGCACAACTTCGACACATCAAAGTTTGATACAACAGTGTTTACCTGTATATATAATTGTCATAGGAACCTACACAATCCATTCAAATTTGAAAGGAACCCCAGTTTCAGAACATGAAACTCGAGAGGTAATCTAGTCTTGCTTCATACACGGTTTTGGGGCGGTGGGGTAGCCTAGTGGTTAAAGCGTTGGCTCGTCACGCCGAAGACCCGGGGTTCGATTCCCCACATGGGCAAAATGTGTTAAGCCCATTTCTGGTGTTCCCCGCCGTGATATTGCTGGAATATTGCTAAAAGCGGCGTAAAACTAAACTCAGTCAGTCAGTCAGTCATACACGGTTTTCGTATTGCAAAACGGCCTGGGAAAATGATGCGGTTCAGGGACTGTGAGACAGTCTTCCCAGTGTGTTGGAGATACACTTTCAGTTCAGTTGTATACTTTAAGTACACTTCAGTACAGAAATCTCTCTCTTAATGAGCCATCATTTCTTTCGATCATCAAAGGGAAGTTACAAATTTACAAAACAACGTGATTGGTAGATCCGGAAATCGGATTATCCATACGATATACAGGCGTAAGGTGTATATGCAGCCACAGGGGCTTGTAACGCTAAAAGCTGTCATCAAGGTATGTACTGTCACTGACGGAGTCTCAGCACTTTATGAAAGGAAAGGGGTGTAACGAGGTCAACACCAAGTTCGTTTCAAGTCGAATTTAACAAGGCTCACTGTATTTATCCCATTTAAAATATGCACACATTTCAAGCCAATAGATTTACCTACAAAATAAGACATACAGCACAAAAATCGAAGCAGTGCTTTGGGAGCTAGGGTCTTCGGATTTCTCGATTCCGAGCCAAAATCCCTGCTCAGAATCGGTAACGGTAACTCACCCATTTTCTTGTTTATTTCACAGTATACACAAACGACATGCACCAAAACATGTTGAACTGATGGCACCTGTCGGCGCGCTAGTCGCCATTCTTTCGGAGACACTTACATCTCACTGTCATAATGAGTTGACGTACATTTATTCATCGCAAACAGAATTGTGTCGTGCCCATTCGCCATTGACGACCTTGCCCTTAACTTGCCCCGCACTAAAAAGAGCAAGGGAGCTCATTTGCTAGAAATAAAATATGTCCCATCAGATACCTGGAAGCAGTTTTTAGCGTTACAAGCCCCTGTGTATACAGCAATGGCATCAACCTATTATCTGCAAGGGGATTAATGAGGATAGGGAGGTTACGATATATGAAGAGGTGGTTTATGTTTCTGCATGACCCGATTGCTTGGCTCGTTGTTCCTGGTATCAGAAATATCGATACTAAACAGGCTTCGATATCCTGAATGCGTCGTAGAACAACATTCAGTCAGTTTAGATTGTATTAGTTGTATTGTGGGTTCCAATCCCGGATGAGACTCAACCCAAAAAGGTACTAGAATCTGTACTTTACTGAGAAAGTGTAATACCAAATATAACATATGTTACATTTGACCACTCTCTAAAATGGCATTGTGTATATTTATTGTTTGAGTTAAAATATATACATACACAAATATATATTTATTTATTGATTATTTAAAACATCATTTTCATTTTATTATTTATTTATTTATTTATTTATTTATTCATTATTTTTTATTAATATAATTATCATTCATTTTATTTTTTATATATTTTTTGGGGGGGAGGGGGGTACTTGCTAAACAACTGTATATTCCGGCAAATATCCGCATCTGAGTTTGATAATCCTGTGATTGACATCATGAGCATCGGTAAAGCCAACATATGTTGTGGATGACATAGATTACGACTTTATAGGTACCAACTTTTTATATACCATCGGTGAGAATCGATCAATTTGAACACGATGATATGCATCAAACAGGTCAGCGAGCCTGACCACCCGATGCCATTATAGTCTCCTCTCCCGATAGACAGATTCTAACTGGACTTTTCACGGGAGCCTCTCAAACGCATGACGCTATTTCATTACAGGCATCCAAATGACATTGATCTGTTTACTGGAGGACTCTCAGAGAAACCAATCCCAGGAAGTTTGGTTGGACCTGTGTTTACTTGTTTACTGGGTAGTCAGTTCTCGGCCTTGAAGAGAGGGGATCGCTTCTGGTATGAGCTCAGTGACGCTGTCACGAGGTTTACGCCTGGTGAGTAGGAAGTGAGTGAGTGAGTGAGTATGGCTTTACGCCGTTTTTAGCATTATGCCAGCAATATCACGGCGAGGGACGCCAGAAATGGGCTTCACATATTGTACCCATGTGGAGAATCGAACCAGGGTCTTCAGCGTGACGAGCGGACGCTTTAAACATCAGGCTAGCTCTAGCTATTCTCGAAACGTTCGTAGCCCTAAGAACTTCTTAAGCCCATCCTTAACACATTGGCTACGATCAAAGTTAAGAATTCTTAGGGCTACGAACGTTTCGAGAATAAGGTCCCAGGATCCTCGAAACGTTCGTAGCTCTAAGATTTCTTAACTTTGATCGTAGCCAATGTGTTAAGAATGGGCTTAAGATGTTCGTAGGTCTACGAACGTTTCGGAAACAGCTAGCCAGGCTACCACATTGCCCCTGTGTAGGGAGTATTTCATAAAAAAGCGTAAGTGATTAGGTATACTTGTAGGTGTCTGATGGCACGGAACACAAGTTAGTCGAACATTTCCGACCTGACATGCCTGGTGGTGGTTATAGTCACGCTGCTTGAGGTCATGTTGTACAGATTTCCCACAGCATCGCGATATAGGTTAAGTCTGGCGGGTCCCATGGAAGAATTGTACAGGGTCTCAGTTCTCAGGCTTACATTCAAAATACACATACAACACTTGCTGCAATCGAAGCGCTAAGACCCGCTTCAAGAACAGGGCCCTGATATTAGTGACTGACTGACTGGCTGTGGTTTTACGCGGTTTTTTAGCAATATTCCAGCAATATCATGGCGGGGGACACCAGAAATGGGCTTCACACATTGTACCCATGTGGGGAATCGAACTCGGGCCTTCGACGTGAGGAGCGAACGCTTTAACCACTAGGCTACCCCACCGCCCCCGTGATATTAGTGAGAGAGTGAGTTTAGTTTTACGCCGCTTTTAGCAACATGCCAGCAAGTTCACGGCGGCAGACACCAGAAATGGGCTTCACATATATGGGGAATCGAACCTGTGTCTTCAGCATGACGAGCGAACGCTTTAACCACCCCTACCCCCACCACAACCACCACCCCCCGGATATTGCAGACGCACTGATACACTTATGTGAATGTTGCAGCAGGCACTGTTTTCACCTTTGTTACAGTTCAATTTCCTAGAGCACTTTTATGGCTAGGTGTGTGTGCGTGTATGCGTGCGTGTGTGATAGGATTTTAAAGGGGGGTCACCCATTTTGTTCTGGGAAGGTAGGGGGTCATCAATTTTGTACACAATGTTCTAGTGGGGGCATTGATTTGGCATGCAGGAGGGTCACTTACTTTGTACATTAAATTTAGGGGGTTCATTTACATTGTACATGCTTCTCCATAAGGATCTTCATCATTCTCCCCCCTAGCCATAAATTATGAACGATCCCTAAACAATACCTAGCATCAGTTAACATCTGCTGACATCTGTCAGTTAAAGCAGGGAGACTCTATAAGGGGAGTGGTCACTCCTCGGAAAGCTCTAAGCTATGCCTCGGCTCGTCACGTGACCAGTGTAGCCAATATGGCGGCAGCGTAGTTTTAAGATTGAGCCCGGTTTATTTTCAACAGCTGATTACATACGCTGAGTGTTGTGACAACTGAAAACCTACATGTAGAAGATAAGTTACCTATTCTGTCACTTCATTTCAAGTCAAATAATTGTTATTAGTGTCAGTATATAAGTACAGTAGCTTTGTAGTAAAGTTTCAAGTGGGCATGTTGTAGCTCACTGGCTTCAATTCTCAGTACACCGAAGAAAGATTAAATTATATCGCTAAAAACTTCTTTCACATATTCGTTTAATTTTTAGAAGGGAGATATACCCTTAGTTGAAAGGTGTTTGCAGGTAATAGTGATAGTATTACAACTAAAAAAAATTTGTTAGGGTGTATTTGAGGTGTGTGAAATATATGACATATCGCCGATCTGCCATTGAAATACTACAGGGCGTTGTTTGAGTGTTTCTAGTTAGTGTTCAAAAACATCTTTCTCATACACCTTCAATTTTTATGAGGGCAATATACCATCAGGTGAAAGGTGTTTGCAAGTAATAGTAATAGTTTTATAATTTTTTAAAAATTGTTAGTGTGTATTTGAGGTGTGTGAAAAATATGACATATCGCCGATCTGCCATTGAAATACTACAGGGCGTTGTTTGAGTGTTTCTAGTTAGTGTTCAAAACATCTTTCACACATACACCTTCAATTTTTATGAGGGAATATACCATCAGGTGAAAGGTGTTTGCAAGTAATAGTGATAGTTTTATAATTTTTAAAATTGTTAGTGTGTATTTGAGGTGTGTGAAAAATATGACATATCGCCGATCTGCCATTGAAATACTACAGGGCGTTGTTTGAGTGTTTCTAGTTAGTGTTCAAAAACATCTTTCACATACACCTTTAATTTTTATGAGAGGTATATACCATCAGGTGAAAGGTTTTTGCAAGTAACATTGATACTTTTTTTTTTAGTGTGTATTTGAGGTGTGTGAAAATATGACATATCGCCATTGGTGCTTGTGATGCTTGAGTGTTATAGTTCTAAAACTTCTTTCTTTCTTGTTGATCTTAGTATTTGACAAAACTGGAAGGTGTTTACAACGCTTTGTGATAGTTCTAAACTTTCTGTTCTTGAGGGGTCTGTGACAGTGTCAGTTAACATTCTGTCAATGCCCATGTCATTCCACACATGCAATAAGATATCTGAATTAGTTACTAATGTAAAACATGTCTCAAAGTAATTTTTTTTTAAAAAGGACAGCTGATGTTAACATATGTGTTCTACCGATAGTTTTGCGTTCTTTAACATGTTTGGGGAGGGATGGGCGTGGTGTATCATTTATTCTTTCATTCATTCACATATGTTCTTTTTCTTTTGTTCTTTTTCTTAATTTCTTTCATTCATTCACATAAAATTCTTGCTCTTAATTCATTCATTCATTCATTCATTCATTCATTCATTCATTGTAAAATTCCGACTGATACAATACACTGGCTGAAGTACTGTTAAACGCAGCCGAAGTTGCGCTGGGACCGAACCTAGTCACTGTGTGCGTTGGAGCATGACGAGGCACACGTTAATTAGTACAAATGGTAAAGAAAGCAAGCGAGTGACCTATCCCTGTTGTAGAGTATCCCTGTCAGTAAAAGTATTGGCGATTCTCTGATTCCCATTAAACTGTTTTCTTCCAGCTCAACTGGCGGAGATTAGGAAGGTCACTTTGTCTCGTGTCCTGTGTGACAACACCAATACCTTCCATGTCCAGAGAGATGCATTCAGAGTCCAGTCCCAAGCGTACGTACACACTGACGACTCCTTTCTTTCGTGTCCACTTCATTCGTAACTACTCGTCCCTTTCCGTAACTGAAAGAAGATTCAGATTCAGACTCATTCAGATTCATTTTTATTCAGCATTTCAGGCCTAAAGGCCTATAGTACAAATACACTTGCTACAATTATATGCACTTGGTGGTTGTGGTGACATTTCTTGCATTGAAGACATCTTTTAAATAAATTGCAATAGATTTGATAATATCAATATTTTTAAAATTTAACAGACTGGACAATATTTGTTCATCTCTTACAGGTGTTGATACAAATGATAAATACTTACTTCTTAAATCTAAATACTTGGTACACACAAATAATACATGAAATTCACTTTCAATATTACCTGTATTACAATTTTTACAGATGGATTCATTTACATCACTGAAAGCTCTACTGGGTTTGCGTAAATAGTGAATTCTAAAATCATGAAAACCAATTCTAAATTTACACAACGCCCGTATTAACGATTTGTCTTGTAGGTTCATAATATAAAACTCAGGTTCTAACAAAGATTTATGAGAAGAATAGTGTTCTAAGAAACTTGAATTATTTATAGACATAGACCATTCTTGGAAGAAAATGTCCTGAAGACGTTGCTTAAAAACATATAAAAAATTACATTCATTTCCAACCATTTGTGAAATCCACACATGAGAAAATCCAGTAGAAAAAAGTAACTCTCTAACCTCTGATTCCCAATTAAGCTTGCCAATATCATCTTGTAGCTTTAGGAAAATATAACTTTGCCTTGGGTACCTATAAGAATCCATTTTTAATAATTTCAGCCAAAATTTTATTACTCGTAATCTGGTGAGTACAAATATATTGCAAAGAAGACTCGTACCCCTCTCGTTGCCATTTCCGGGAGAAATATTCCCCCAGTCAATCAGAATGCGCGTATGTCGAGAAGAAATTGGGTCAAAATAGTTAGTTGACATAATTTTCATTTCGGCTTCCATAACTTTTTCCCAGACACTTCAAGTATATTCTAATTATTGCATAGTTCTTTAGGGTTTCCTGCATTTTTCTAACCAGGATATATAACATTATGGCGTAGGAAAGTATTTAAGCATGTTAAGCATACCCTTTGAGGTAATTGCCTTGTCTTGGATGCCGTGTTTGTTTTCCAAGTAAACTAGAGTTACATGCCCTTGAAAATAGTTCGGCGACCAGACTGCGCTTTTGCTTTTGTTCAGTAAATAGCTACGAGAGTGGTACGAGTCTTCTTTCAGGTTATGGAAAGGGACGAGTAGTTACGAATGGGGTCCACTTGGGTCCATTCGGGTCTGTTCGGATCCGCTCGTATCCACCCGGGTCCCTTCGGGTTAACTCGTCTGATTTCACAACCCACATAACCTCTCGGGGATATTGCAATTCTCTTTAAACACGTTGGCGTCGTCTAATAATATTATTATAAGGGACCGCAAAAAGGCTGTCCCTTAAGTATGCCAAGAACTTGCGATGATTGGGCAGAATCACGGTTCGCCCGGATCAACTCTCGTTTGTAAGCACGGTACCTGTGCATTCATAACTACTCGTGTCATTCCGACAAGCCGGATGGCGTCTCGTACCCCTCTCGTGGCCATGTTTACGACTGGGCCCTGTCTAAGCGCATAAGGGCATGGAGATGAAAATAGTCTAGTATTATTACCAATGAAAGGTAACTCTGAATTTCCAAACATGGCTCCTAGAATATCATATATCCATTCGTGACCAACTCGTGTTATTCCTGGACAAGCCGAATAGCGAGGTTACGGAAAGGGGCGAGTGGTGACGAATGATCATATATCCCGTGGGCAAAACAGCAATACAGTCATTCCCTTTGTAAATATGTTTCAGTGTTTAAAATTGCTGATCCTTTAGCTCAAAGTTTATGTTAAAATTGTGCTTTGCAAAGTTGGCGCAGTTTCAAAGTTCAACGGTGCCGCCATTTTCATGCTTCGAAATCCGTTTTACTACGCGCGATTTGATTGGTTTGCCACGATTCTTGGCAATAATGACGTACGATAGGGGTACGAGTTTTCTTGTAGGTCACGGAAAGAGGCGAGTATTTACGAATGGGTACCTGTGATCGTGGGCTTCGCCAAAGTGTAAACTTTGGGGAATGCACCCCGACTAGGTTTCGTCCACATAAATATATCTGACATACCGGCAATACTTTGCTACGCGGCGCACTAAATGTTTTCAACACTAAAACAATACATAAAATCCTTATGTATGCTGACGAACAAGGCACATGTTTTATTTAGCATATTTCCTTGTTTCATAAACAACCTAGTATGTTGCCAAAGTTCTATTTTGCGAACAAGGTGCATCTTTTATTTAGTATATTTCCTTGTTTACATAAACAATCGGATTCTCTAGCCTCAGAAATATTGCGAAAACGGTGAATTTGTATACTTACTTAGTCCTTGTTTCCAGAAACAGCCGATTCTCTTGCCGCAGTTCTGGTGCATACTTTACTTACTGTATGTCCTTCTTCCCAGGGGCGATGGTGTAGCCTAATGGTTAAAGCGTTCGCTCGTCACGCCGAAGACCTGGGTTCTATTCCCCACATGGATCTTCACTGTGAAGCCCATATCTGGTGTCCCCCGCCGTGATATTGCTGAAATATTGCTATAAGCGGCGTAAAAGCATACTCACCTCACCTCACCTCCTTGTTGCCAGGAATCCCAGCGTTCCATGTTACAGCATCCCTCGCCTTGACCTGACCATGTGGACAGAACAACAGCCACGCTGGTCAAACTGGTCGGCCCCGTCACTCTGTAGAAGCGGAAGTAAATTCCAGTTCCGGAGGAGGGTGTGCATGCCGAAAAACGGAGGGTGTGTCGGACCGCGGGAAGTGTGGAGGTTCTGTCCGACACATGGCTAGCGGGACCGGATAGTCTTGAATAATTATCGCCTGGGTTGTGTTTTTGTTGAGTAATAAAAACATTGTACAAGTATTGCTTTATATAAGCTGAGCTTCAACTTGATATTAGCAGACGTGTTTAATACATATCAAAACTTAGAAACTAAACTCTTCAAAAAGGAAACGACACAGGCCAAAAATAAGGAAATGTATTTAACCTATGTAACTGTACGTAAGTCGATTAAGCTTGAACATAGATGAATAAAATTCGACACAAGGATGAACATGTGCATCGTTGTCATTGTCAGCATTAATTCAGTTCACTCACTGCACATGTGTGGACACAAGGGTGCGTTCAGGTCAGTACCTGGTAACACCACCCCTGGATTTGGGATGCAAGTCCGCGCAATACACAAGACGACACGATCAACGGGATTCAAACACAGGAATTGTCTTAATGACGACGAAATAAACTGCTGAAAACGCCTGTTTCTTCTCTTTGTTAAGAGTGTAAAATGCTCATCCATTTCTGGATAGAAAGATACGTGATATGACCTCAAACATTTGAACATGGCGGTCGCAGTTGCATCGCCGTACAAGATATAGTTACGTAAACAATACCACAGCGACGTGTCATCGGTCACGATTAACATTCAAAACAATGTACAATTCATTCAGTAAGGTATCACTCAAAGTCAAAACATAGGAGGGCGATTACTATAAAGCCAAGCATCTTCACTGGTCAGTACACAACACCACTGAAAGTAAACTGCTTGACTGTAATCGTTCCTCTTCTTATTATTAAGGTAAGAAACATTTACGCCTTGTCATTTCATACTGTTGTCTTATATATGTATGGAATAATATAGACAGTTTATGATTTTATTGGTTGCTCACCTTCTAATATAAACCCACTTAGACACGTGCACTGTTATGCGTAATTATCCCTTGTTTGTATATGGGTAATAAGTATTAACTATTTCTTTTATGAATGATCATGCACGATACGTTGTGTGTTTTAAGATATGTATTTTTTAATTTGTATGTATATGTTGTGTATATATCTATCATCATGTAATGAATTACGCATCATAGTTTAGAGGTATTAATCCAAGCATATATGTATTCATTTTCACTTACATGTCGTAATGCTCTCTCTCTCTAGACATGAACATGTGCTTAGCTCTACCTACAGCTATATTCCCTATCTATCTAGCTTCCCCTTAAGTAATACAAATATTGACATTTCATATCGAAGTTGTTTGTATATATTTCATGTATTCATATTATTGTCAATCCATATGCCATGTATTTCTGTTTATCAATTGTATCCAATTCTGTAACACAACACCACTGAAAGTAAACTGCTTGACTGTAATCGTTCCTCTTCTTCTTATTAAGGGTATAATCAAGTTCCCAAACACGCGTCAAAAGCTTGATTATACAATCCTCTTTCGGTAGCTACACAGCGTTCAGGCAAAAAGAGGCTAGTCCTTGACCTTAGTTTTATCAATCAGTTTGTTTATAAAAGAAAAATTGTTGGATTGCGTTGGATTTTGTGCAAGATACAGGTTTTAAGTTCAAATGGCTTTGGTTATGCTAAATCGAAGGACTTGTGTTCTCGTCATTCAGGCATTGTTAGAGATACTCTAGAACAATCAGGTTTTGTCATTAATGTTGAAAAGTCAGTATGGCACCCTGTTAGAGAGTTAGAGTGGATTCACATGGAATTTAGATTCTAGTGTTCTTTCCATTCCTGTCAAGAAAACAGAAGATATAGTGTCCAATTTGTCCGCATTCATGTCCGATTTGCCGAGGTTCACAGCAAGGAGTTTAGCTGCTTTAACAGGGAAGGTCATAGCTCTTACTCCAGTTTTGGGAGATGTTTGTAGATTTTTCACAAAGCATATGTATTCATAGGGCTTCTTCCTGGGATAGATTTCTAAGGTTAGAAAAGTGTCATTGTGTGTACGAATTGCTGTTTTGGAGAGACAACCTGTGTAGTCTAAAACCGAGAATGTTGTCTACTGTTATCCAACCTATGCTGTCAGTGTTCACAGATGCTAGTGACATAGGTTGTGTTGCAGATTCTGATCATGTGTTTCAATATGTGTTCGACGTGGAGAGAAATGAAGGCCATAGAATTAGTTTTGATTGCGTTTACCAGGATTCTAAGTGGCAAACTGTAAAGTGGTTTACAGATAGTAAGCCATGTTGTCGTGTAGCTTCATAGGCCAGAAATTTAGATCCCCAAAGGGGAACCCAAAACAAATTACAACAGAAACAAATTGTTGTGTTTCTAATTCAGGAATATCTTATACATTACATACTAAAAGTCTTAAGAAATCAGGGTGGGAACATTATCAAAATTAAGGATAATTAATAACTTTCCTATATATTTTTTCAACCAAAGCGAACACGTATTTCCTTTTTTTTTTAAATACCTTAAAACTATATATTTTAAGCATTATATCTAGTAAAAGGTGATAATTTTATCTTTAACATAGATCACGTATGATATTTTTAATTTTGACAGAAAAAAAATACTTTAGGGTTAAAAGCATTTTTTACCCATAATCATTCCAAGAGATGTAGAACTTTTCTAAAATAATTATTTTCATAAAATTTCTGGAAATATGTCATCAAACAAAAATACCTTTTGTTCTTAATAAAGTGTACATGTTGAAACTCATTTATTTCTAACATAACAGAAATTTTACTTTCATATCGTCTCATGTTTTGAAACGAAGATTGTGCATAATAGACAGTCTTCAGGAAAAATGATGTTGAGAGTTATCTCCCTTTCACAACATTGACATTTCCTTGGAGAGTTGCAGCCCTGACTTCATAGCATTTCTTGTGCTTTGCAAAAGGTCTTCAAGACATTTTCACAGAAGAGAGGTAAGTACATGTGTTTATAGATGTTCTTGACCCAACTTTAATTGACAGAGTTAATTCGTAAATGCATACTTGATCTTTCTTACCTCAAACCAGCACTGTTTTCAAGAACTGCATGTCATCACTAGACATATCTATAGCATTTTGAATGAGGGACTGATAAGCTTTTTAACTTTGATCTATAGGCTTTGCTTCTCCCCAAATGAATTATGTGGACTATCTCTGTTATCATATGCTGCTTTTTATATATGTAATACTTATGTTTGTGGTATTATGACACCAAGGTCACTATGACCTAGCAAAAAGAAGTTGTCAGTGTATACTATTTTCCATAAAACTGCTCTTTTTTGTATGACCCAGAAATGTCACATACATAACATATGTTCAAAACTGAAAACATTGACCTGATGATTATTTCATTCTAAAGTCAATATATTTGGTTTTAATATTCATGAATGAGATAGTATTATAGGTACTAATGATGAATACAGAAAAGAATATGAAATTGTTTGTTTCATATTATTGATATGATAATATAATTAGTTATCTAGTTTTGTGTTTTTATTAAGATTTCAAAATTTGTACATTTGTCATTAAGACTAACATTCCAAAATGTTTTTTTTTATTTTGTAATAACACAGATCATTGTATCAAAAAGTTGTAGTTGTTATACATCAATTTACATAAATTCAGGTTATGTATCATAACTGAGATTGAAAATATTTCTGAATTTATCTATATGCTATATATATATATATATATTACCTGACTTACATAGATATTTTGATTTTCAAAATTTTAGGGTGTATTAATTTCATGTAATTGCTATGGTAATATACATATTTGGAAATTTAGTTTTATATTTAGCTTACAAATTATTACTTTTCCTTTTAGGATCAAAACATGGCACCATGGATGTTTGTGTAATATGCAAGCTGCATATTCATGCGAAGACAGGCGGAGGTTCAGATGTTCTGAGAGAGAAAGGCAGCAGAGGTGTAAATGAATCAAGCGAAGCACGTGGTGACTCAATCAAAACCAGACCGGGACAGATTGTTCATGTTGATTGTCATCGACACTACTGCAATCCGCAGCAAATAAAGAAATTCAACAGTAGTAGGAATGAAATCACGAAGAACAACCAGTCTAGGACTTTACGTTCACCAAATACAAATTTTGATTTTAAACACCAATGTCTATTTTGTGCTTGAGTTATCAATCAACAGGACAAAAAGAGAGCTCATGATGTATATCCTGTTAAAACAAAGGATTTTGAAGAGTCAATTAAAGCTACATGTAAAGAACGAGGGGACAACTGGTCACATGATGTACAAACTCGCCTGCTCTACACCTGTGATCTACACGCAGCAGATGCAGTATACCATCAGACATGTAGTGTCAATTTCAGGACTGGAAAACAGATTCCATCTCAATTTGACAAATGTGTTCACACCTCCAAGAAAAGTAAGCTAGAGGGAATACCAGAAGATTTTGAAAGGACAGCAGCTTTTGAATCTGTAGTTGATTTCCTTGAGGAAAATGATGATGAACAGATTTCCATAACGGATTTGGTTAATCACATGGAGGATATCTTGAAGGGAACAGACATTGAAGCATACAGCCATCCCCTACATGAAGAAGCGTTTGCATGAGCATTTTGGAGACCAAATCATCATAACTGATGTCATTGGAAAACATAATGTTGTAACATTTACAAGTACGGCCTCATCCATTCTCCATGATTTCTATCAGGAACCAAAAAAAGGAGGACATAGACACAGAAAAGCGCCAGATTATTCAAACAGCAGCCAAGCTCATAAAAGCAGGACATTAAGTCAGTAGAGGTCAACAATGATAGATACCCTTCATGTGATGAAATGGCATCATTAGAAGCAAATTTGAATTTGTTCCAGAGATGTTACGATGTTTCCTAAGAGAACTGATTCCAAGAAAACATGCTGATATCAAGATAGCTTCTTTGGGACAATCAATAATGCAATGTTGTAGGCCAAGAGTTCTCACAGCCCCACTTCAGATTGGACTTGCTGTGCAAATGCATCATCAGTTTGGTTCCAGATTTCTTGTGAATTCTCTCAATACTCATGGTTTCTGCAGTTCTTATGATGAGGTAAAAGGTTTGAGAGAAAGTGCTGCTGTCAGCAAGGGAACTGACATCCCAGGAATATGTCCAGGAAGCTTCGGAAATGTCATTCAGTATGTTGCAGACAATGTGGACCACAACACCTGTACTCTTGATGGCTCAAACACATTTCATGGTATGGGCATGATTGCAGCAGTCACACCAGGAACAAAGACAAGTATGCCAATTGTGAAGACTAATGTAAAAGCAGAAGATCTGTTGCAGCTTGGACGAATCAAACTACTCCATTATAAACCCACTAGTCTTGGAATTCTTCACTTATAAGCCACTAGAAGAATTATCAGAAGAGGACCCTACAGCAAATATTGATCTTCTTTGGAAAACATCCTGGCTGCTGAGACATCAAGTTAGACCAGCATATTCAGGGATGATGCAAACAATTTATCATGGACAGTTTCCTGGTAAGTCATCAGTGGTGTTCCTTCCCCATGATTGACATGGATCCAACGAGCATGTCCTGCATATTTTTCCACCTTGAAGTTTGTCTGCAAACAAGCAAGAAAATACACTGTGACACCAATGTTGACATTTGACCGACCTCTTTGGTGGAAGGCACAAATTATAGTTGTCAGTGAACCAGGTGACAGTGACCTTCGTTCTCTTGTCTTAGGACTAGGAGGCTTTCACATGGAAATGAGCTTTCTTGGTAGTATTGGGCATCTAATGGCAGGATCAGGACTCCAAGAACTGTTTGAAACAGTATATGCAACAAATTCAGTTGGACATATGCTTAGTGGAAAAGCAGCTGCTAGAGCTGTTAGAGCTCACATGTTGGTTGACACAGCCTTGAATGCCCTCTTGGTTGCCAGGGCTTTTGATGTGCCCTCCCTCTTCATCTCACAGCCATGAAGAATTATCTGCAGATGTCACTGATAGGCATGAAGATGAAGACATTACTGAAGCTGTTTCACTGTATGATGGACTTATGGATGGAAAATTGACTCCAGAGGACGTTTCTTCCAAACTCTGCTTTGAAAGAATACATAGACGCATGGAAGCTGTAAAAGTGAAATAAAGTTTTCACGAACAGGGGCTCTGTGGCTCATGTACATGGATCTAATTGACATCCTTCGGAATTTCATCAAAGCTGAAAGGACAGGAAACTGGAAACTCCATCTTTCTGCAATTTCTCAAATGCTTCCATATTTTGCAGCTTCAGGACATAACATGTATGCCAAGAGTGCCCGCCTCTACATACAAAACATGTGTAGATTACCTGATGATCACCCTGATGTTTACATCAACTTCATGAATGGCTACCATGTCATTCGTAGAAGTGAGAGATTTTGGGCAGGACTTTCAACTGATCTTGTAATTGAACAAGTCTTAATGAGAAGCTTGAAGTCAAGAGGTGGCTTTGACAAGAAGAAAAGGAATGACTGAAATGCAGCGTTCTCTCTGGATCCTCTCAATGCCAGCATGTGCAGAAGTGAGTAATGCCATGCAAGAACTCACAAGTGTATCCTTTGCAACTGACGACAACCACAAGGATGTAAGAACTACCAGACTAGCCAGAGATTCAGAGGATATTCTACAGATATTGCAGTACCTAGAAGATCGAAACCCTTTCTCTGAAGATTCCACTCTGAGGAGTATTGCGACTGGCATGACATCAGAGACTTCAGTGAATGTTGACAAGGCAAAAGAAGTTGGGAATTGTATCTTGAAAAGATGACAGGAAACAGTGTAGGAGATTTCACCTTCAGAAAGAAAGACCAAGCCATTACACTCGCCTCGCAGTCATCACTGAAGATTGATGGTGAAACAGTTCAAGTGGATCCACAACTGTTGTTTCAACGCCTAATTATTGCAGCAAACTGTTCTCAGGAGGTGTTAGCAGATGTGTTCAGATATGAAATGTGTAGCCACCCACCAGCCCTCTTTGATTCTCATGCTCTAATGCGACAATCCAACAAATCAGTTCTTGCAGATTCCATGTGGTCACTGTTGCCTTCATATCAAACAGGGGCGGTGGGGTAGCCTAATGGTTAAAGCGTTGGCTCGTCACGCCGAAGAACCGGGTTCGAATCCCCACATGGGTACAATGTGTGAAGCCCATTTCTGGTGTCCCCGCCGTGATATTGCTGGAATATTGCTAAAAGCGGCGTAAAACCAAACTCAGTCAGTCAGTCAGTCAGTCATATCAAACATCTCTTCCTGACAATGTCCACTATGTGCTGGATGGTGGTTATCTTCTACATCGACTTCCATGGTCTTACGGTATGACATATGAAGAGATTCTGGCTTTGTATGTTGACTATGTCAAGAAGAAGTACAACATGGCAGTAATTGTCTTTGATGGCTATGGGGAAGGGATGACAACAAAGACACTGCCCATCAAAAAGACGTACAAAGGGCGTAATGTCACCCGTAGTCAATTTCTGTAAGGACATGAAACTGACAACCAAAGAGAACATTTCTTAGCTAACAGTCTAAACAAGCAGAAGTTCATATGTCTTTTAAGGGAGTCATTAGCAGCAAATGGAATCATGACTCACCAAGCAAAGTCTGATGCAGATCTCCTCATTGTATAGAAAGGTATAGAAGAATCAAAACAGGGACCAACAGTTCTCATCGGGGAAGACACAGATCTTCTTGTTCTTCTGTGCTATGATGCTGATTCAGAGTCACAGCTTTTCATTAAGTCAGGTGTAAATCAAGGAGGAAGGCAGAAGGAACAGAGGATATGGGATATACAGAAAACAAAAGCTATCCTTGGACCATGTATTTGTGAGAACATACTGTTTGTTCATGCTTTACTTGGATGTGATACAACATCGAGGCTATATGGACTAGGCAAAGGGACTTGCGTTGAAGACCATTGGTAAATGTTCACATTTCCGTTCTCAGGCGCTCATATTTCATGCTCCAGAATCTTCACATGATGATGTAGCAAAGGCAGGAGAAGAAGCTCTTGTGTGCCTATATGGAGGAAACCTTGGTGTAACCCTAGACCAACTCAGGTACAGGAAGTTTTGTGAAAAGGTGTCAACCAGCTTTTCTTGTGTCCTGCCCCAGTCATTACCCCCAACTGAAAATGCTGCTCAGTTCCACAGTTACAGAGTGTTCTACCAGGTTCAAGAATGGGCAGACAGATCAGCTGACATGAACCCTGCAGACTGGGGTTGGATAATCTGCCAAGGCAGGTTAACACCTACAGACAGATATGCCAGCGGCTCCTCAGTCACTCCTGAAAGTGATCAAATGCATCTTGTAAAACTGAGTGTACGTCTATGAGATGTTCTTGCAGGAAGCATGGTCTTAACTGTTCAACTGCGTGTGGCGAGTGTAGGGGTGTCAGCTGTGCCAATTCCAGTGTAGCTGATCAGGAAGATGAACATTAAAACATTTGTATGTTTGCTGAAAAATCCAAACCCATGATTATGTGATGAGTGTCTTCAGTGAAATGACAGTACCAGTTTAAACACTGGAATTATTTACTTCTGTGTTCAAGTTGTTTTCAAACAGTCTAGCATCTCATGAACTGACTGGTACTTTCATGTAAAGAAGCAACAACCTGAAATTGTTGGACATGCCCAACCATGGCACATCTCCGATTATCGGATCTGATTTTATCACATGTTGGATATTTATTTCGAAAGTTTGTAATCTTATTGATATTTTATTAACTATGCTTATTATATAACAATTATTATACTAATTACATATTGACTAATATCGCCTTTCAAAAGAATAGTTACAAGGGTCTTTTTCATACATTTTGTATGTAAATAATACTAATTAATTCAAAATCAATTAAAACTTAATTAATGAAGGTCGTTAATTTTATGATGTTAGTTAAGTAATAAATGGCACTGTCTTGTCATAAGCTTTAAAATGATATGTTACAACCAGAATACCATTCAATAGAACAATTTTCATATTTTTGGAAATTTCTGTTAATTACTTACTTAATTAAGTCAAATTAAAATATTTCCCCCTCAATGGATTTACTAAGACTTTTAGTATGACGTTCACTGATGTTGTCTGAGTACAAAACAGTTGGATGTATTTCTGTTGCAATTTGTTTAGGGTCAAACTCTAATTCTCCTGGCCTATCATGTGGTAGTTCTAAACAGCATCTACAACAAGTCGCCACCTCCATCTTTGTGATAGCCAATCAGTACAACATAAGGTTAAAGTTCAGCTGGATTCCCAGATCAGAAAATGAAAAGGCTGGTGCTCTGAGTAGATTTGAAGATTCAGATGATTGGAGAGTTACAGATAATGTTTTCGAATTCTTGGATGGAAGATGGGGGCCACATTCTGTTGATCGTTTTGCTAACCATTTGAATACCAAGTTAGAAAGGTTTAATTCCAGTACCGCATACGGAGGCAGTTGATGTATTTACTCAGCAGTGGCATGGGGAGAACAACTGGGCAGTTCCTCCTGTACATTTGGTGTGTAAAACTGTACATTTTATCTTACTCCCCCTTCACACTTGAGGCGGAATGTCGGGATGAAAATTCCTGGAGATTCCTGAAAATTCGAACTGCATTCTAAAACTTCTTACTGCATTCCGAATGCATTCCAACTATTCGGGTCAATTCTTGTAACATGCCCGAATGTTTTGAACATGTTCAAAACTTTCGAGCTACATTCGAAGTGGAAAAATATCGAACGGCATTTCAAATGCATTCTAACTGCATTCTAAGTATTCTTACTGCATTCTATGTATTCTGAACGTATTCTAGGAAGAATGGAAAAGGCAAGCCACTTCAAATCCAGTCAGAATGTCCCGAATGCGCCTCGAATGTTTCTCGATTGCTGCTCGAATTCAGGTGGAATATTCTTCAAATGTATCGGAATATTTCGATACAGATCGAATGTACCTCGAATACAGTCAGAACCTCCCGAGTGCTCTTCAAATGAGCCCTGACGTCATCAGAACACCGCCGTATCGCATAAAAAATGTAGCTGTCACTGAAACGTCAGATAGCATTTGGGAGTTTCATTCTTACAAAGCTTGAAAAAAATGTTTATTTTGACATTCTCTACCGAATGCGGTTCGATTTTTTTTCCTGGCTGATTCTCCTTGATTCCTGCCAATTCGAAATAAGTTTGAAGAAGCCTTTATTAGCATGCAATGCTCCTTCTACATCACTGGTGCCTGTGTGGCTCTCCGCTCCATATTGGCCTTTGTTGTTCCTGGTAGGTCAGAGTTAGTTGATTTTTCTACAAAAAGCCTGGAATAGTTTTAAAATCTAAAGCAGATACTACAGTTTTAAAACAGAGAAGAGCTTTTACATGTTGGCAAAATATGGGCCACACGGTTTAAAGAAATAAGTGTTTTGCCTGCAAATTCTTCCCATGTGGGCTTGTACCTTACGTCATTGATGCAGTCGGGTAAAAGGTCTCCTGTTATTATGAATGCTGTTTACGGTATAAGATGGGGGCACAGTAGCGGGTCTAACAAATCCATGTCAACATGACCTAATGAAGAACATTAAAGAAGCAGCAAGGAAATGTCACAGTGACCACGCCAAGAAGAAAGAGCCTATAGATGTTGGTGTTTTGATAAAGTTAGTTGATAGATTTGGCAAAGAAGATTGTTCTCTTGTAGATTTAAGATTTTTGAAAATGTCCATTCTTTCATACGCTGGCTTTTTCAGATTTTTGAAGTTTCCGCAATTAGCCGCTCTGATATTTCTTTTCATGAAGGATATGTTCTTATTTTCATAGAAAAGAGTAAGACAGACGTGTATAGAGACGGTAGATTTGTTGTGATTGCAGCATCTGCTTTCGAACTCTGTCCAGTGAATATGCTTCGCCGTTATATGTTATTAGCAAATATCAAGGAAGACTCCCACGAGTTCTTGTTCACACAAGTGAATTACTGTAAGAAAGCAAAGGAAGTATGTTCTCAGAGGTAATACGCCAATCTCTAACACGAGAACAATTTTCAGGGAAAATTTTAATGAAATAGGAATAGATGTGAACAGTTTCGGTTTGCACAGTTTTCATTCTCACTGTACCTAAGATGATGCTGGTAACGCATGTTACCAGCATCACATCATGGCGGCAGACAAGATCGTTTGGCGATTATTCCCTTCGAATTAGCAGTCTTCCATGTGTATACAATCAACATTAGTTAGCACACTGATAAACTTTGATGGTGCGAAAACATTGAATGTACTGAATTTGATTATTAATGTCTATGTGTTGAAGAATAAGCATTTTTAAAATCGCGCGAGGATGTCGGTAACTCAAAGTCTGGATGTCGGTAACGTGCAATGAATGATGCTGGTAACACATACTGTCCTGCTTTAGTCGGTAAACAGAAATTGTCGGTAAAGAGAAATACAAAGGAGATACTAATATCAGTTCTTATGTGTTACACAGATGTGTACTGCTGCTACATTAACAGTATGAGCGACTTTTTCTGTGCACCGGAGAGTCGTTCCTTGCCTTGAAGCAGGGTGTGTTTTATCACACTATTTATGTGGCGTTTCATTGAACTTCATGAGCGAAATGTTCTTAAGTGCGACATTAAACCCCATTTCACCCACCTCACCTAATGGGTTCTGGGTCCCGATCCACAAAGCCATCGAACGGTTTTTCATTTACATAACCGCATATCACCTTTATATTGAGAGAAAATCGAAAGTGTGCACGTTTCCGTTCAGAGACAAATCTAAACAACACACGGATGAGATGCAGATGCTGGCATGTCCAAGGCCATTAATCTGCTAATCGACTTTCAGAGTCTGTTACCTGGTTTACAACGCGGTATCTTGATATCATCCCGTAGATATAACACGACAAGCACTCAATCAACGCATAGTTCACACAGCACTGTGGAACTAACCGTTCAGACATATTAGATATTCATACATGCAACGTTATTAACGTCACGCAATTTTACAATTGTACATTTCTCTTGATAGTCTTGGGTCCCGATCCAGAAAACTTTCGTACGCTACGACATTCGTAAGCCAACTATAGAGTTACGACAGGTCGTAACTTTACGAACGCTTTGTGGATCGGCGAATACGTAATACCAGAAGGACACCTCGTGATTCTATTTCAAGGGACGATAACTAAAGCCACTTATGAAGAACTGACAACCGACACATGTTCTGTTACCCAGGGGGCGGTGGGGTAACCTAAAGGTTAAAGCGTTCGCTCGTCACGCCGAAGACCAGGGTTCGATTCCCCACTGGGTACAATGCCCATTTCTGGTGTCCCCCGCCGTGATATTGCTGGAATATTGCTAAAAGCGGCGTAAAACAAAACTCACTCACTCACTCACTGTTACCCAGGTCTTACTGCACATGGTCATATATTTTTGGATTTGTTTGGTTGCTTTGTTGTTTAACGCAGCACACAGCAATATTCCAGCTAGGTATATGGCGGCGGTCTATACATAACTGAGTCTGGACCAGATAATCCAGTGATCAACAGATTGAGCATCGATCAACGCAATTGGGATACGTGACATGTGTCAATCAAGTCAGCGACCCTGACCACCCGATCCCGTTTGTCGTCTTTTACAAGCATGGGTTTCTGGAGACCAATTCTTACCCCGATCTTCACGGGTAAAAATATTTTTGTGAACAATTATGAATGTGAAACATACTTTGTAAAACATGAGTCAATTGCATCTTGGTTTTAGAAAACAAATCGGTTTCTACATTGTTAAACATGGTTGTTGTGATGAGACACTATGCTGAGGTTCAGTCATATTTATCATTGTAGAACCTCGCGAAAAGAACCAGGCCCCGATCTACAAAGCATTCGTAGCGTTACGACCTACCGTAACTCTATACTTATTATAGGTTCACGAATGACGTAGTGGTACGAACGCTTTGTGGATAATGTCCATGAACTCTGGCTTAACCTAGGAGTTTGCTTTCAACCTGCACTGGCGATTCTCCAAGGGATTCTATAAAACAGTGCGTAAGGCATTTCGAATGCTGAATTCAGCTTCATTTCCGCATACATGTTATTGTTAATTCCAATAAATACTTGAATGTAACCACTTTAAATCCAGTGTTGCAAATCAGTAAAGCATCTGAGATTTTGAGTCACTCGTCTGCTGTTGGTGGGAAATCTTTGTAAAACCATTTCGATCAACATAGCTACCCATTTTAGTTTGATGAGTTAGTTCAGTTTTACGCCGC